TTGTTTTTGTATTTTTTATTTAAAATTTGTGTTTTATATTCTGATTTTGAATTAGGTTTTTTAAATTTTAAATACAAAATACCTCAAATCTAGTTATAGATCTTCATTTTTTATCAGATTACATGAGTTGTCTTTTTTGAAATATTTTCGTACTGCAAGTATTTTTTGTGATATAATGTTGTGAACTTTTATTGATTTTCGAAGATCCATTACAAAAGTCGACAGATCTATTATCATTTTTTAACATTTTTATTAGGCTGATTGAATTTTATGTAAAAAAAATGAAAATTGAAATCTGAAAATAACCATATTCTGATATGATATAAGATTGTATTATAGAGGAATCAACTAATTACTTTTTTTTAGGCGACTTCAATTTATATTTAAATTACATTCCAAATATGTAGGCTGCATAAGTGAAATTTGATTGGTTACCAAATCGAATGGGCGGGACATATAAAAAAAATTCAAAAAAATTTGTCGAAAATGGTAAAAATCGATAAAAATAGCGGGAAGATGACTTTCCACNCCTAGTAAGTATACGTATAATGATATTTTTATATTCATCTTATTTTCAAATAAATAAATTAAGCTTTTGATAATCAACTGTCTTACCTAAAAATAGGGAATTCAAAGAAGTAGAAGAATATGCACAACTTTATCCTAACTCATTTATACTAGCCCGTGTACTAATTATTATGAATAATAATTAGATCTTATAAGTCTTTTATAAATATGCTTGTATATAACTTAACACGCTACGAGGAATAAATTTAATATATAGAGTACTTAAGATATGCAAGTTAATGTGGTGAAAATATATGATATATGTTGATAGAAAATTCGAACATGAGAATTTTTTTTTTTCTGTATTTTTATTTTGTACAAGTTCGAGTCAACTATTAATATGTACCATAACTTGAGAAAATTAAACAATTCTAATTGCTAGCAAAGTTTGGAAGTACATATTTTTTCTATTATATTAAATAGGTGATATTTTTTAAATTATATTTTTTCACCGCCTCCCCCACTAAATTTTTCTGCATCCGCCCTGTTGGTGATGTTAATATATTGAAAAAAATAAATCACAAATGTGCGTATGCTACATAAGCGTGGACATATTAACATGTGTCCACTGTGGATAGGAGAGTATTTTGCGTAGATTATTATATAATAATAAAATTTTTGTAACTGTTACACTGCATCAATATTTCGTACTGCGAGCAGTAGAATTTCCCAAAGTGGGATAAGAAGGAACATATGGGCCTATGATGGGCTGTGGGTGGGAAGCCCATTGGGCCCACATAAAACCAACACAGCTCAAACTCGACCAATTTGTCACATTATTATGATAAAACGGAAACTGAACAACTCATGTTGGACTATATAATTGGTTTTCATCTTTTTCCTATTGTTTCCGAATCTTATCTTTTCCACTGGCAGAAAATACATATCATGCAAGTTGAACTTACATTTTCCCGATAAATAACGTTCATTACATCACCCAAAATGGAAGTTGCTGTGGAAGGATATTGCAATTACATTTTTGTTAATTTTTGCCTTTACTAGTGTTATCATACTAATCACATAGGGAAAAAAATAAAATAAACTCAGAAAAATGATGTATGTACCTAGAGGCTAGTAGAGTTATGAAAGTGAGATTCTGAAAAAATAAGCTCATCTTTTGGACTAGTCTCTTGTTAAAGCGAATGTTCTGAAAAATAATTAATATGATCCTCCATATTGAAAGTGAGATTCGTCATTCTCATAAGCAGGTTCATACGATCGAGAATATTGTTTATTTTCATAGAATAAATTTCCACGATCGCCCCAACCGTAATGGTTCCCATCAAAATTTAAGCAAGCTTGACGAACGCTCTCAATGGCTCCTTGAATCATAGCCGACATCCTAGTTTCACGATGTGGGTCTCCTCTTTTTCCTCTCATTCCATAATATTAATCGTAAGCATAAACACAATCAGGACTCCAATATGTATCCATTTACAATGAATACCACCTGCAAATCAAACCAAGAAAAGAAAAATAGGGGGATTAAGAGAATCAAAGAAAAAAAATAATAAAGTAAATACTAATCTAACTACCTAATTCAAGTAACACATAAAAATCACAACTCAATTGCGCCACTCCCCGACAACGGCGCCAAATTTTAACCGCGAGTCGCAACGCGGAAAATTTGAATTTATAATGTTTTCCTCAACTAACCTCTACTAACTAGTAGTAGCGGCGAGTAAGAATCGATCACGAGAGGAGAAGGAATTAAATTGTGATTATTCTCGTATTAATCGAATTAAAACTAGGAAAGAAAATAAAGATGGGGGTTGGTTTTATAAAAATAAAAATAAAAAAATGATATAAAAATCAAATAAAATGATAGTTAATCCAGTTTTCGTTTCAGTTTTCACCCAATCTAAATCTCTCGTGAATTAATTTCGACGCTTTTACCTAAATTGCTAACGAATTACCAACACTAACTAATAATAAGCCCTGTTAACCGAATTTTCCCTTACCGAATATTTAATCAAAATAAGCTCTCCGACTAAACCTAACTAGTGGACAACCTAGAATAAGCTATCTAGATGTAGTGCACTACTAGCATTAATTTCTAAGAAAATAGAGTAATCTAAGAAACGGACGCAAAAGGTCGGACCATTTAACTTATGTCCACGCTACCCTAGAGATACACGACCCTTAGTTCACTACAAACGAAACGAGAACAATAACAATTACGGATTAAAGACTCGAATCTAGCAGTTAAACTCTGAATATTTAACGTAGCTGGCGGAACTAAATCAAACAACCGTAATTCATAAATATTCGGCATAGATAGCATGAATCAACTCATCAACAAATTAAATACGGATGTCTAAATTAACCAACGATAAATATAAATCATTCAATCCATAGACAAATTAAAATTAGAGTTCAAATATCTCCTCAAATTGGATAAAAACACTAGCCTACCATACTAATAAAATAAATATTAGATAAAAGAGAGAGTAAAATCTCCCTCGTGTACGAGTGCGCGCGGCTAAAATCTCCCTCGTGTACGAGTGCGCGCGGCTTCTATATGCTTGTGTAGCCTCTCACCTTTTCTCTCTTGTGCCTTTTTTCACTCGGCTTTGTCCTCTGGCTCTTAGCTCAAGGCTTTTAATGAGTGGTCAAATAATTATATTTGACCACTATATGTTCAAAAATATGCAATATGAACATTACATGTTTGACTGCATTATTAATATTTGATTAATCATGACCACTGATTTGTTAGATTCAAAGGCTTACGTTCATTTATTGAGCTAACAATATCTGAGCAGTTTGCTATATCACTTGTCACAAATTATTTGGTATATTTAGAAGATGACGAACTGGTGTAAATATGCAAGATGGATGAAACACTTGAATGAATAAACTCATCAGCATCTCCAAACTAAAGCTGGTTCATTAATAAGCGCTGGTTCATTAATAAGCACATTATATGAATATGATTGAGGATGGGGGTGATTGGATATGAATTCACCTAGTAAAAAACTGGTTATTTTTTAATTATAGTTAAGTTTGAAAAAAGGTGGTATGGTTAGTTGGTAGCGGATATATTAAAATAATGTTTAAAGTAAAATAATTAAAGTTGATTTGATGTAAAAGTAGGAGAAAATGATTGGAAGTGATAGTTAGTTAAAATTATGTGAGTAGATGAATAGTGAATTAAAGTTGATGTGATGTGTAAGAATGATTTGGTGATATTATTTAATTATATTGATAATATTGAAGATAGTGAAGTTGAGTTAAAGTTGAGTTAAATTTGAGTTTTGATTGGGTTTTTTACTGTAGAAATGATAGACAATCGGCCCCATAGAATCTCACGTGAGGTTCACCAACCTTGTTTTTCAACTTATGTATTGATTAATCCAATAGCTTATATTTTCTAAAGAAAATAATACACGTCTTCATATTGCTTCAAATGCAATATTTTTTATTCGACTAAACATGGAATTATAGAACGTGTAGCATGAAAATAACCGTGATATACTCGATATATGCTATTTTATCAAATTATAAAGTAGAAATACTGTAAATACAAATAGTAAGAAATATTAAAAACTTATAATTAATTTGTGTTATACTAAGTGATGACGATTATCTAACAGTAGCAAAAATTTACTTCAAGTAACAACTTTACTAATTAAGTTGTCGGATGATTATAGTATTTTTTTTTTCAAACGACAAATATATTAATGATTAGAAAACTCAAAAGAATATAGTCGGGTATCATCTAACACCAAAGAACTAGAAAATCTAGACCTACCCTATTAGAACTCCACATTTGTGGCAAAAATGGACCTTTTTTTGGGTTTGGTGCAGAGAAAAATTTGCATTTTTGGAAATGGTCCTGTAAGTGAAAAAAAATTCGTTTTTTGGTCTTCTGGCCAGCAGGTCAGAATTACCGGATGGCCTACGTGAAAATTCACCTGTTCTGAGTTGTAAGTTTAGGTGGCCGATTATGTGGCATAATTGCAAAATATTGCAGGGAAGAGGATTCGAACATGAGACATCTAGCATTGAAAAGAGCTTTTGAGCCACTTGACCTAACAAATATTGTTTTAAATATTTGAATTCACTTATATATTTACCAACATTGTTTTATCCCTCGCGCTCCGGTGAGAATGGTGTTTAGTGAAAGAAATAAGAATAAATCTTGACCATCAAATCGGACAATCAAACGCTTGAAAAAAAACCTAGAACTATAACCTCATTAAGGGTAGTTTAGACATTTTTTTAGATAATCCAACAAGTGGGTCCCACAACCACCTCCATCCAACTCACGTAGCACTCTCTGTCTCTCACACGCAAAAACACGCAGGGAAGTGTGTTCCTTCTTCCACCAGTCTGTTTCTACTTTCCACATTCCATCACAGTGCCGCTGCCGCCGGTGCTCCACCACCGCCGCCGCACCCCTCACCTCTCGCTGGTTCTAGCAGTCGCAATCACCCTCGCCTTCTTATCCCAAACTGTCGTCTTCTACAGATCTGAGACCCTTCCCGCCGCAGAGACTCTCCTTCTCCCACCTCCGCCGCGGCACCGACTCGTTCGCCGCTGACAACCGCCTCGGGCAGGACGAATTCAGGTCTGTTTACAGGGGAATTCTCCTCTCCGGCCAGAGGATCGCCGTTAAGCTGACGAGCAAGGCCTTCATCCAAGGCTTGCACGAGTTCCACAACGAGCTGTCCCTGTCGATTGCTGATTTTGGTTTAGCTCATGTGTTGAATCGGGAGGACACCTAGGGACGATTGTCGAAGATGATAGAGAATACGTAAAAACGCCCGCAGAGAGATTGATTTGGGGCTTGGTGTTGAGAATTTAATAATTCATATGGGCCTAATATATATTAAATGTATATTTAATAAATATATTTATTGAATTAACTATTTGCTAAATTAATATTTATTTAAATTTTATTTTTCATTAAATATATAAATTTATTAAATAATATACTAAATAATTTTTTAAGGGAAATATCTTATTCGTAATGCTACTTGTAGTAGGCTGCATTCTTTTTTTTTTCTTTTCTTTTATTTATTTAATTATTTATTATTTTGGCCAAAGTACTATACTAGATTTGAGCTACACAAAAGTAGGGATGTCAATAAAACCCATAGAGTCGGGTTACCCGCATTTTCGAGTCGGGTAAACCCGAGATGGTCGGGTTCCGGATCGGGTTCGGGTAGAATTATGCTACCCGAACCCCGGGTCGGGTTGGGTGCAGGCATAGTAGAAGACCTCGTTACCCGACCCGTTTACCCGCAATCATTGAATTTTATATATACATATATATAAATATATATTTATAACTTATTATAAATATAAAAGTAGTCATGTGTTATTAATATTAAAAATTAGATTATTTATTATAATTTGATTAATGGTTAAATTTTATTTTATTTTTTATGATTTTATTATCATTTTTTGTTAATTGTATAATAAAAAAAATTAAATGCTTAAATTTTAAATGTTATATTATTAAATAGACTATAAAAGATAAATAATTATATCTCATTATTTATTTTAAAAATAATATAATTTTTTTATAGTTTTTATTGTGAAACTTAGTTAATAAATAATTTGTTACATTATAACTAATTGTAGAATTACTCTATTTTATTTTTTCATATGAAACGAGATGGGTCGTGTAAAACCCAAATTTAATAACTCGAGTTACCCGTTTACCAGACAAAAATCCACTAACCCGCCAGATAAAACCCAACCCGAACCTGAAGATCACTAACCGGGTAACGGTCGAGTTTGGGTAGGATAAATTAAATGCGGGTCGGGTTTGAATTTGCCTAAACCGGTACCCGACCCGACCCATTTACATCCCTACACAAAAGCATACTTACAAAATCACATGTAAGGTAAGGTGATTAAAAAAAAAAGAATAAAGAAAAAAAGATTTATCTCCTTGAACGCATGTGTGCACCATTATTCATAAACACCCATTGGACTCTACCCAATCTCATTCATTTCTCCTATATATACAAACTCGTACATACATACATACATACAGTCTCCTTCCAATTCACATCCTCTTCCCCCCTCTCTCTCTCTCTCTCTAAAACTAACTTAAATCTCCGCCTCTCTAAAACTGTAGCAGCAGCAGCTAAAACACACCAATATTATTCCTTCCTTACATTCACTAACGGTTTATATATCCCACCTCACTTCCCAAC